AAATTTGTCATTTTTCCCCCCTTTTAAAAGGGTTTTTGGGGGATATTCTAAACCCCCAAAATCAAAACCGTGCCTTTTAGAGATAAACTCCCCAAACACCACTCTTTTGTGATTTATCGAAAGATTGATAAATTTTCGATATCTTCTCAAAACAAAGACAATAGTCCGTGGGTGTTTTTGGAGCTTCTAGTAGTCGACTTTGAGGAATTTTGGCGACCCAATTGACAAGGTTTGCAGCAACATCGATTTAATTTTGACATTTTAAAAGTATTAGCATATTTGAATAAGTGTTTTGATTTGATTTTGCTATAATGTATTATGTTGTGAATCATTTTTATTCCTTTACTTTTTTTTTCTTTTACGATATATTTACATGTTTTTAGTTGAAAATTGATTTTTTTTTGTGATTTATTGAATTTTTCCTCATTTGGAAGATGAAATTGGGCTTTTGTCAATAGTCTTAAACGTTGAATGAAATTAATATTTTATGAATATTTGATATCCAAAACCAAATCTATTCATTAATAAATAATAATTATAATATAACTTTCATCTCAATTAATAATCCACTTGTCTCTGTTCCTGGTCTATGCCTTTTTGAACATTGCATGAAATACGAGTGCTGGAGGGCACAAGAGGTAATGGCATTGTAGTCAACCTCCTAGGATTACATGGCTTCATTGGCATCTCACTTCTTCTTCGGAATAAGTTCAAGAATCGAAAGTTAAATGTGAACGGGGTAAAAATTTGTAGTTGGAACAAAGTGGAATAGTCAATGAAGGAGAAATCTTGAATTTCTTTAGCTTGAGAACGGGCTTCTCCAAACCCCGAGAGAAGGATGAAGTTAGGGTTTGCCTTTTTTCTTTTATGTGGTCATGGCTTATTTCTTAAGAAATAGTTTAAAATTTCAATTAGATTTTATGGATTCAGGTCATTTAGTATTGTAGAGTTTTAAGGAAAACCGTGTCATTTTATTTTGCTGTAAAGAATTTAGGGTGGAGTAGGAAATTAAATTTGACCAGATGAAGGGTGATTTAGTTTCTTGTGGGATGACTTCCACAAGAAAATTCACTTTGTAAGTTGGAACAAGGTTTGCTTACCCAAAAAATATGGGGCTGCATTCACAATCTAAGAAATACGAACTTGGCCATACTAGAAAATGGTGGTGGCACTTTACTATGCAGCAAAGCCTTCTTTGGTGTGAGATGATACAATTTAAGTTTGGGATGCCCGGGCCAGAATGGTTCCCCAAAAGAAACTTTTATCATAGTCTTGTTCAGCTTTTGGAAAGGGATCTATTTTTTGTCAAGATTCAAGGCGAATAACGGTCGAAACATTCTTTGTTTGAATGACCTCTAGATTGACCACCAACCTCTTAAATGCACTTAGTACTCAGTCTTGTGTACTGCGCAACGTGCACAACACAAACCACTCAATGTGCACTATTCATGCGCAAAGTGTAGCAATGCTTCCCGCTTGTATGACGAGCGTTGTGCACTTATGCACCGTACGATTTGCACTGTGTTCCCCATACACATGCGCGTTCATGTTCTAAGAAATATGAACTTGACCCTACTAGAAAATGGTGGTGGCACTTTCTCATGCAGCAAAGCCTCCTTTGGTGCGAGCTGATACAATTTAAGTTTGGGATGCATGGGCCAGAATGGTTCCCCGAAAGAACTTTTATCATAGCCTTGATCAGCTTTTGGATAGGGATCTATTTTTGGTCAAGATTCAAGGCAAATAACGGTCTAAACATTCTTTGTTTGAATGACCTCTAGATTGACCACCAACCTCTTAAAGACTCTTTGCTAAACGAACTTATTTGCAGCTGTCAAAAACCCAAGAGCTACTATTGCCCATTATATAGAGGTTAACCAAGCACGTATAGTGTGGAGCCCCACCTTTAGAAGGGCACTGAACGACTTAGAAACTCAGTAGTTCTCCTCCATGCTCCCTGAGCGTAACTCCTTATTCATTGAAGGAAATGGACAGGTCAAATCATATGGGCCCTTAACACACTTAGGCAACTTCTCAGTTTGCCCTTTTTACCTTGCTCTTAACTCCAATCCCAAATCCACTACACAAATTCAATCGTAAGCATGGCTCAACCCGATCCCACCACAGGTCCCAGCCTTCACTTGGCCGGTTCTTGCCATAGTTGTTGGGATCGTAGTAGGACCAGGATCGGGATCGGGATCGGGATTGGGATTGGGAATGGGGGATCATGTAATGCTAATATATCCCTATGGTTGGGAGCATTGACGATAGTCCATATAATGCATATGTGAGAGATCTAGATCCCAAATGTTAGGGATCTAGATCCCAACCTTTTGGGGATTTTGATCCTAATTTTTTGGGATCTCGATCCCAACCTTTGGGGATCTTGCTCTCAACTTTAGAGCGTATGTATAGTCTAGGACTATATATATCTGTGAAAGCATTGAGCTCTCTATTTATAGCTAGCAAGCAATGCAACTATGTTATACGTATACTTGTGTTGCTAGTTGGCTTTAAATGAAGAAAATCATGAGTTTGGATGCAATCTTGGTCCTTAAGGTTGGGGTTGAGATCCCTAACCATAGGAATAAGGATATCTAGCAGTGGGGGAGATGATGGAGCTTAAAACGTGTTTCAGGCAGGCTCTGAGGACCTTGGCCAAGATCTTGAAGGAGCTATTGATCAGGCTTATGGGCCTGAAATCCTCAAGTTCCAAGGCTCCTTTAATCTTGGGTATGAGGGCTATGAAAGTGCCATTCATGCCCTTATGGATAATGCCCCTCTCATAGAATTCTGAGATGAAAGTGAGATAGTCGGGACAAAAAACGTCCCAGAATTTAGGGATCAAACTATCTATGGGGTATTAGGGATCAAAATTTAGATATTTGTAGATGAATAATAAAAGGTCGTACTCAGATCATAAATTCACAATAAAAGAGTAAGTATAAAGATTACATGGATGGGTTTTACTCCTCTGCCTTATTGGTAGATCTGTTCCAAGTGACTCTATTGAGAACTTATAGATTTTCATCTCCATTGTCACATGGTCTTGGACTTTGGGGTTGAGTTTCATGTTGCACAAATTGACATCGTTCATGATCCAACCCTTAGAATCAATATCATAATAAGTATATAAATCAGCAGGGCTGAGAAAATACCCTGTTGCATGCAAGGCCTTATGTAGCTCGCTGTTCACTTATCATCTACAAATAATACTGTCTCCCATATAGTCAAATTTCTTTGGAATATCTTCCTTAGCAACCTTCATTACCTTGTAAATCGGATCCATAATTCATTCCTTCTCACTTTCCACCATGCGCAAGACCTTTACCCATGGATCAAATGCTTGGACCAACCACCCTTTCCAAAGTTGAGGTCACAAACAATATTCGACACTCTCTTTCCCTTCTTGCACGACTTGCTCTTGGTCTGTTGTTCAGAGACAAATACGGCACTGAGTTATCCCTGGCCTCACCAACTTGTTATTCTATGTGAACTTCCTCATCATGGCCAGACTTGGGTGTGGTTGTTTATAAAAACAATGATTTTCTTGCTTTCTCCATTGTCTTTCAACTTACTCATCTCTGTAAGAATGAGCTCGATGCAGTGTACTGTGTTGGGTGTCCAAAATGCATGGTCTCTTCTCAAATAATAGCTTGGCAGGTCTGCAGCCATATCTGTACTGCTCACCACCACCTCCTTCATATGTTGGTCTACCATGCTAAATATGAACTCTGAGTTATGAGCTCATATGCATCAATTGACTTCAAAAACATCATCACCATTGGAGAATTCCCCAAATTCATGATGCTTTTCCCCCTCCTATTAGTCCATGTACTCTTTCGGTATTCTAACCCCATACTTTCCCCTTGCACTCTTATAGGTCTTGAAATACTTGTTTGTGAGCTTCACAACTTCTCAAGTAAGGGCTTCTTGAGCTCATAAGGTACAGGGGCCTTCAACCTAGTTCCAATGTTCCATGATACCAGCATAAATGTTGTGTCTGTTATGTCTCTAAAGAATTGAGTACTTATACATAAAAGCTAGTACAACAAAATAAAAGAATTATATTGAATAAAATGATGAAATATTTGTGTATTTATATAATTTATTTTATTAGTTCACATAAAACACAGTGGCTAAATGGTAGTTGAGGCACTTCCATGCATTGTTCGAGGTTCAAACACTTAAATGTACTCTGCATAACACTTTTTCCTTATATAACATAATTTATTCCATTTAGCTCGTTATAATGCTTTCTCTATATAATATAATTTCTTTACCTACTGCAATTAAGCTGCAGTGGTGGAGTGGTGGCTTTGCTACTCCTTGAGATCCCAAGTTCAAATCTTGGTGGGCCTCTTCAATTATTTTAACACAAGTGGGTCTCTGTGTCGACATGGTCAGAGTATGGAAATGTGTTGGCATGCAACACGAAGCTCATGTTGGAGTGTTGGCACTATCCTAAGGAAGATCAGTTAACTTAATCCTAAGGCATTCTTTTCATTTTTTATAGATTAAACAAATTTCTTCTCACGTTAAACCACTAATTTTTAATGCAGCGAGTGTGGATTGAACATGTGCCCTTCAGATATTCCATGATAGGATTTTAGCTTGTTTCTCTCAAATCATAAATAAAATGTAATTTGCTGCTCTTTTGGGTTGAAATTTTACTGGAAACGTTGTCTTTTTTCAGGTGCATATGTTATTCTTCTGATGTACTTTCTAAGAATATTTCATATGAATGGACTTACCTTTATATCAGTAATTTGTTTCCTGGTCAGCTATGATGTGGCGGTAATCAATTTACTATTCTGCAACCTTTATAAATGCGCTCTATTTGATAGCATTTTGCGCTTATTTAAATTGTGATTGTGACTTATCCTGATATATTTCTGTGATAGGTATCTCCTTTTCAGTTCTTAACTTTGAGAAATTTAAATCTTGATGGTTATTGTTGTCTATTGAGTTAATTGGATCATTAATTATTGCCCTTGCAGAGACCTACTTCGGTAAAGATTGATGCTCGAGACATTACTGGGGCAAAGTTTTCGGTCCATTTAAAAGGTCTTCCTGCACGGGTTTTCCAGCATGAGTTTGACCACTTGCAGGTTGTCTGTTCGGACTTGGAAGAGTTTTTATTCCCATTTCTTGTATCATGTGCACCTTTGAGGACGGGCTTGAAATATACTAGTTCAGATGTATACCCAATCCATATGAGTTGTTTTTATGGATGCCTCTAAGTCATTACCATGAAAATTGCACCTGGATTACTTACGATACCACTCTCTAAGTCATTGTCCTGTTTTTCCACTGAGTGGAATTGATCCAAACTGGGGGTTGCTGCATTTGTTAGCTTTTCTAGCCAACTTCAATCTCTGGTTGATGATGCAAGTTTGACTCAAACTTGAACTGAACCATTTTGGACTTCTAAACTTGCCTGTTGGGCTAGAAGTGGCTGGTTCAAGTGATATAACCTTGCAATTGTGGTGCCAAATCAATAGGTGCATGGATATAGGCATTCAGTGGAGTCAACTCGTAAGAATCCATGGTAGAAGAAGACAACTAGCATGGATATGATTAAAAAGTGGTTGATGAGGAAAGTTGAGTTACAATGTAAATAGCAGCCACTGAATGCTTCTATCTATAGGAAACTGGGTAATTGCCTTGTAGACATCATGGAAAGAGCTGTCTCTATAATGTTGAGTGCACTTCCTGCATGGCTGGAGAATATGTGCTAATTGACTTTCTCCCATTTGTCATGGAAGGGGATACACCCATCATTATTTCTATCCTCAATGGAGCACACACACTGTTGAGGATTTTTTAGGTTTGTTTCATTTGATCAGTGCTTATTGTGATCATCACTTCCATCTGGAAATGGACAGGAATGTGGTATAGCTAGCTAACTAGGTCAAGTAATAATAAATAAAAAGTGCCGGCCAACTAGGGAACTTCTAGTTTGATCTTTAAGGTGCGAGGTAGGGGTTGTTTTTGGCTCTTTGTGGAAGTGGAGTTTTCACTAATTCTGTTTCTCACTGATTTCCATGCTTCCAACTGATAATGAGAAGTTGAGTTTCTAAAAGAAACGTAGGTTAGTTTATCATATTTTATTGGATGTCTAGATTTTAATAGCTAGGTAAAACTACTGTTCGATATTTAAAAATTTTGACAGGCAATTTGTGTCAATCTGGAACAGAAATTATGGAGACTGACCCAGATCTGTAACAATGATCTGGAAGTTTATTGTAAATATTGGCAAACAACAGTCAACACTCTTGGACCAGAAGATCTAACATTTCAACAAATCGTGGTTTCCTCACGGTTTCTGGTTATCAAATTGTTCCAGATTGGGCACGACTACAACGTAGCACATGGGGCATTGTGCTTTGGAGTACCAATGTTTATCTACATATGATTTTTCACCTTCCTTTTAAACTCATTTAGCACCAAGTAGTCACTAGCCTTTAAATAGCCTATTGCTACTTTAATACCTGTACCAGAGCCTTGACATTTTAGATGTGTTACTTGCAATGATAATTGCTTAATGTGTTTTCTTGGTGTGAAGCGCAGGACCTAATTTCGGCCCATTCTATTTGCAGGGAATTCTTTTCTTTGAGAGAATGACAGAAGAAGTTCTAGAGAGTATTCGTCCAGGTTTACAGGTCTTGGGCCTTATCTTTGTCTTTCAACATAGTTGCTGTTTCATTCTCTTTCCTTGATGTTCTAACTTTTACTGCATGGTATGCGAACACATTGGGAGAATAGTCTCATGTTCCCAAAAGCATACCTTATATTTATTCAGGGTATAATGTTAAGAATTAGCCTTAAAAATATTAAAAAACTGATAAATTAGCCATTTAAGATTTATGTTGATGATTGTAAAATTTTAAATTGTTTATTGGTGTAAATTTTGTTATCATGAAAACCTGAGTTTTAGAGTGATTATGGAAAAAGATGATCATATCATGGAATAAGGAAATGGGTCATCTTTTCTTAACTAAGGAGAGATTGGAAATCAAAAACTTCCCAGGAAAATATCTCTTCCCAGATGATGTGTGTCCAGGTAGAGAGCCGTAGTGCACCAACACAAGTTTCTCTTCTCACTCAAGTTTTATTTTTCACATTTCGTTTTTTCTAAGGTGAAGGGCCTCGTGGAAATGTGACTTGTAATTCTTGCTATTTAAAGTATTACTATCTATGAAAAGGAGATGTTTGTTATGCAGATGTGCCATACCCATTTCTGGAAGGAAGAAAAAATGGAGACCTGACATCCTTTCTGATGTATTAATTATTAGATTTTGCTTATTTGTTTAATAGGCCTTGGAAAAGAAGTATGAAACTCTGACTGGATTGCCGAGTCCAGAAAGCATCACTAAACGTCAAGGAATAAAGGCGATAGCTGGTTTTGGAGCTCCATGAAGAGACTTTACTAGCATTCTTGGTAATTTTACGAGCAGTTTCTACTTGCCCGTTGGCTACCCGTTACAGTTTTCTTAGTTTTGCGTTTGAGAACTATTCTGCAATGTGTTTAATTTCTTCAATGCAATTGTGTTAACATTTATTAAATAAACAGCTACAGGCACTATTTGTGGGAGAACTGAAGTGGGCGAATATGCATTCTCATATTTAAGAGGTTTATGTGATTCAACTATCAAAAGAGACAAAAGATGAGTAAGTTGCAGTTGCTGAAGGTTTTTGTATATTCTGCATAATATTACTGCTGCTGACATGAGGAATCAACATTGAGTTTGCTATAGTGCAATTTTTGTATGTTAAAAAACAGTGACCCAATTATATTGAAAGTGCCCATGCTTCAGACTGGTTCAAAAAAATGCCCTCTTTGATAATCTATTTAAACCTTTCAGCATCTTGATAATTTCTTAAGACATCTCAACTTCTCATCTGTGAGAGGAATGGCAACTGAACATGTGGGAGAAACTGTAGAATGTATTTCATGTCCAAGATGTTAAATGGACAAAACTATTGACGGTTTTGGATGTTTGTTTGGTTCTCTAATGAAACATTGAGGCATTTTAATAGTTTATACAAACCCCTCATTTTTTATGGTGTCCGGTGCATACATGGAATTTTATGCAACTTAATATTAATTAAACATGGGCATTGGATAACTAGATTATACTGTTTTGTTGCTACAATGAAAACTTTCCTTTATTATATACTCTCAACAAAATCCAATAGGCGACAATGTGCATCATTGACTGGGAAAGTAGACTTAGGTGGGCTGGCAATGTGCATCATCGACCTAGAGCTACACTGGTAAGGAAGGGAAATTTGGTTCAAGAGAAAGGTTCTAAAAGGGGAGAAGGCTCAAAAGGACATAGATGGAAGTAGTGAGAATAGATATTGTGACTTATCGTTTGACTGAGGGTATGACGCTTAATAGAGTGGATGGAGGAACATGTTGTGTAGCCGGCCCAAATAGTTGGGACAAGGCTTGGACGATGATGATGTACTCTCAACAAAAATTAGTCCTTTTGCAGCATGCAGCATGGTTATTGGATTTACAGTTGTTTTAGTGTAGGGTATTGCTATATGGTGGGTGATACTCTTGTTCTTTGCATATCAATTTAATATGTAGAAAAAACTGAATAGTTTATTGGGTATATTTTCTCTTTATAGTTGTTTTTCTAATAATTATTTAAAAACATTATTGTTTGTCGCACCACAATGGTCTTTCTTTCCGCATCTGCATATGGAAACTTATCTTCATTTGGAACTTGACAAAATCAGTTTATATTTGTTTTAAAGGAAGCAGCTTTGATATAAGAAAAAGCAGCTTTTTTCATAATGTTGGTGGAACCTATTGAGGTACAGCTTATCACATTGTTACCTGGTGTTGGTATAAAGAATTTAGTGGAAACTGTAGGGAATAAATTGCCTTGTACTAAACAGGAGACAGCAGGTACCTTTGTTTGTCTATGGCATACCTAGTAATAGGTGAATATTCTCTCTAGGAATTCATGGGTACCAGGAAGGGTTCAACAGGGATTTGACCTTCATCATTCTCATTTCCTATATGCGTGCATAAGTATCGTTTGTCATGTACATTATTTATTATACAGTTATGTTATGTGTGTGAGGTCATCTCTGTCTTCTCGTAGCTGCCTAACGGTATTTGAGTTGCATTTCACTGTGCAATCAATTTATTAAAAGGTTTGGTGACCCTGTTCACTCTAATAAATATTTCTCTCTAAGCGTTGGAGGGTTCCTTGCCTCCTCAATCATCTTCCATTTTGTCCTCTCTAAGAGTAGGCCTTTTATGTGCAAAATATTCCTATTCCATGTGTTAGGGACGAAGGAAAGGAATGCAACACATTTTTCTTGAATCAACGTTATGATGAATGTTTGGTTCTTAATCCATTTCATAGAAGTATTAGGCCTTGTTTAGGACAACTTTCATCACTCTGGCATGATCTGTTGTGGCAGGCCTTTTTTTCTTAAACTTAAAATAATATGCATGATCAGACGTATTTATATCCTTACAAATACTTAACTTATTATCTAAATAGGTGACTTTGTGATCAATTGTCGAACTGAACAGGTTGTCAGAAACAATCTGTGCAGTATTAGGAGTTTCACAATCCATAATCAGGTGTATGGTATCAAACGTGTTAGAAACGGAGTGGAGGAGTACGGTATTAAATGGGCGCATAGGGAGGTTATGATAACCTGGCTGTTGTTGAATATTTTTGAAGAAATCTTTAGTCCATGTGGGCGAGATGTATTTTCTTGTACTTGGGCAAGCTGATACCAAAACAGATGCTTTGGTGAAGAGCAACATGACTCTGGGTTTTGTTGGGAAGGGGGGGGGGGGGGGAGGGGATGACATCTTCTTTAGTGTTCTTCTTCCTCCACATCTTGTACCTCTTTCTAAATGTTCAAATAAAATGTCACCTATCAAAGAAAAGAAAACTGAATGGATCATCTATCTAGAAAACATTATCTCTTGCACGCACATACATGTTTTCCACATTCTGTTCTACTAGGGCATCTATAGTGCACCTGCCGTTGCGCAGACACAAAATATGGGCTGGTTTTGACACTGCCTTTGACTCCTCAAATGCCAACATTCTAATCAGACTTCGTACAACAAATTGTTTTTTACAAGATTAATAATTTTATTATCAAAATGCAAGAAACAACAATTACAAGTTCAAGGCAGAGGTCCGGTAAAGAGCTTCCAAGTTTGGGAAGGCAGTCAACCACCTCATTTGCCTCTCAGTACACACCACCTCATTTGCCTCTCAGTACACATGAGAAAATGAAACATTCAAAACAATACGAATATCTAAAATGTTCAACCAAGAAGATCGTAGGGCCATGGACCTTTTCTCCCTAGTGCACCACTTGATAACATTAAGGGGGTGTCCCTCTACCAATATTGCATCAGCGATCTGCTTATTCTGTATAATCATCAGACCATGCACAAGAGAGCAAAGTTCGGACTGATTTTCTATTGCAATCCCACAACGATCATTATAAAAGAAGATGATATTCCATCCCGAATCTCTCAGAACTCTGCCCACACCTGCCACACCTGGTTCCCAAAAGAATTTCCATCAAAAATCACTTTAAAGTAACCATTAGGCGAAGGCTTCCAAACTCCACGAGGCCGGATTTTGGGCACCAAACTATTAACAAGATCTCCAGATTTAAGAAGATATCAATACGCGAAACTCCTTTACATTCTTTAGTGATAGAGTACCAACTCCAAAGAGACTCTAGGACATTGCCTTTGATGCTATCTGCACCCAAAACTGAGCCGCAAAAAATTGTCCTATTTCTCTCCCTTCAGAGCTCCCAAAGAACCGCTCCTTTGAGGATTTTCCATATGGTTCTCCCCTTAGATGGCGGCCCCGGCAAGTTCAAGTGATCAATGACAACCACTAGATTTCCAGGAAGCATCAGAGAACAACCCAATTGCCTGAATGCCCATCACTGAATGTGATTGACAAAAGGATCATGCAAGAAGAGATGGTTGTCATTGTCCTCACCCTCTTACTCGTCAAGTAAACATTAGGCAAAACTTCACTTCTCTTTTGCAGATTGTCCATAGTAAGGCACTTTCCTTGCACTGCAATCCATAAGAAGGCTTGTATCTTGAGAGGAACAGGCCACTTCCACACCTTATTCAACACCTCACCGCTCCATCTTGCTCAATCATAGAACAGTCGGTAGGCGGACTTTACAGAGAACCTCCATTGCTCTCCCTTTCCCATACAACGTCAATTGCATTTGGATAAATATGGACAAATTCTAGATCCGTCAGAAGACTTTGCAGTTGGAATAATTACAGCATCAGGAGCCCTATTGTAATTGCAGGAAATGGTCCACACCCTTCCTGAACTTGCCTAACCAACCAAATCAGAAATCTTAGTAGCTGGTGAAGGGACCCTAGCAAATAACTCAGGTAGAAAATCATCAAAGGCCTATCACCTAACCATTTATTAAACCAAAACAATGTATCTTCATCCTTATCAACCAACCATCTAGCGTTGCCAACAACGATAGATCTGCAGCTAAAGATTCCCTGACATATGTGAGAAGAATGTACACCTCCTTTACCTCTCTTAATCAGATGAGAGATCTGATCAAAACCATATTTAGCAGCCAAAACATCTTTCTATAGTTGATTAGGTCATTGGATAGTTCTACACCACCATTTAGAATGTTCATAAGCTTCAACCTTCTCATACACAATCCTCCATCCCTTTTTGGAGTATAAATTTTGTTCCAACTAACCAGGTGAAATTTCCTTTGATCATCAACAGAAACCCAGATAAAATTTCTCATCAAGTGCTCAATAAGCTTATACACTGAACTCGGCATCTGCGACAATGACATTAAGTAAATAGGTAAATTTGCCCGTGCTGGTTTCATAAGTGCTATTCATCCTCTCAAAGACAAAGTTTGATTTTCAGAAATCCATCTTGACCTGAAATGTTTTAATCACTGGATCTCAAACTGTGTGACTTAATCTTAATTCTGAAATTGAGAGGCCAAAATACTTAAAAGAAATTGTTCTATCTTGCTACCTAAAGTTAGCCAAGGATCTCAAAAATCCCTATTACAAGCCACCTCTACCATATTAACTTTCAAACCAAGAGCTATCTCACAACACCTGATAAAAAAACTGAGATTCTTCACCTGTACTATATCAGCATCACAAAAGATCAGTGTATCATTGGCATACTGTAAGTGAGACATAATAGGGCTATTGGGAGAGACCCGAAAGACCGAGAATCTCTCTTTCCTTTCCACATTCTTAAGCATCATACTGAAGCCCTTTGCTAGCAAAGTGAATAGAAAAGGAGATAGCGGGTCCTGATGTTTGATCCCCCTAGTAGCCTTAAAGAAGCCTTTGGGGCTACCATTAATCAAAACGGAAAGGTGCGCTGAGGAGAGACATCCCATAATCCAATTCCTCTATTTATCTCCAAAACCCATACGCCTTATAATCTCTCAAAGAACGTGCCGGTCTACCCTGTCAAAGCCTTCTCCATATCAAGCTTAATAATAGCACCTATCACTCTAGTAAAATATCTGGAGTGTATATTTTCTTGCACAATCAAGATGTTATTAGTGATCATCCTATCATGAATTAAAGCATATTGTTCTCTAGATAACACTAGTGGCAAGACTTTCTTCAGTCCTTCGAAGAGCACCTTAGCTATGATTTTGTAAAGGCTCGTGTCACACCCCAAGTTTTATATTACTAGAATTCCTGAGATGTGACAGTCCATTCTTAACGAATAAAAACAAATTTGAAATTTTCACTAAATATTACATCAAAACAAAATTTCCACTTAACTTTCTGATTTGTACAGCGTTTACTTCACACTTATAATTTGCATGAAGATCTGTGTATATACAATTGTAATAAAACAAAAAGTACAAAAGGGAATTCATCCATGACTACAACCTTCTTCCAACTACTTCTGTTGTACATATGAACCATGCAGCTGCGATTACTTTGAAAAACATTTCAGAATAGTTTGATGAGTTTAACTACTTTGTAAGTGACCATCATTATCCTCACAAATCATGTTTAGAGAGTGTAAATATTTTCTAAAAGAACACATATTAAGCAGAATTTTGACGTATTGATTTCATGCATTCTAATATATGTTATTAAACAGATTCACTTCAATTCTTACACATATCCTGTATTCTTTATTAAACAAAGAAAATAAGCATAATACGTCGACCATATGCACATGATCATATCAAGATCATATTACTACAATCAAGTATCAGATATGGTCAGACAAGTATTCACAACAACAGAAGTCCTGCAATAGAAGCACCAACCTCGGGTTCCAGGCCTTGGTTTCAAGGTCAGGACTTCTATTATCCCACAGGATGAAGCACCACCGATGGGTAAATCCATTGCGTAGTACCTCACACACACACACAACCTCAGCGCGCATTGGGGCTTTTGATAGGCACTAGCCTAGCAAGACACGGCCCTCTCATGTGCCTTTCTGGCGAGAGAGTGTTACACTACCAAAGGGGTCCCAATGAGTATTGCCTCAAATATGTTTTGGGGGTGCGACCTCCCAAACATAATCCAATCCTAACTCTCATCCTAGCATAGAGAGTAAGGATAAATCACGACTGCCAGCATAAGTATCTCATCAGATCATAACAGAGGCATGTCTCCATGCGCTCATATTTTATTGATAGCATGTTAACATGCACACCTATCTTATTAAAAGCATGCTGCTATGCACACGTATCTTATCAGAAGCATGTTGCCATGCACACATATCTTATTACAAGCATGTTGTCATGCACACGTATCTTACTAGAAACATGTCTCATATGTAATTACAAGGAACGTCAACAGTTCTATGCTGTACATATAGTCATGAGGGGGCATCACTATGTCATACTATCATGCATATCAATTCAAAAGACCTTATTATGTCAATTGCGGGCTATATATCAATATAGTAGATGTTTGGCAATCAATGCTTTTCCATAAAATAATTCAAAGTAATTACTTGAACATAACACTTGTACATAACCCGTGCATATAACATGTATAATATTTGTATATATATAACATTTTCAGTATCTAAGATTTATGCTACATATATTATAGTTATATATGGAGGTACATAAAACTTATTGTTTCATAAATATTATGATTACATGCAGAATTATTTCTGAAACTACTATAAAAATATCAGTTTTCTTCAAATAATGATTTTACAGGAAAAATGAAGCCACTTACCTATGGTCACTTTGAGATGAATATGCTATTATCGTTGCCGGAGTAGAACTGGAATCAAAGGTGTTTTGGTGGAGAGAGAAATTCCCATTTGCGAGGAGAGAGAGAACCAATTGATGGCTTAGTTTATGGGCTGATGGAATATTTATAAGTGTGGGACTCAACCTATACTCGACACATGGCATCCATGTGTCATTTTTAAGGGCCACCTCATGCTGTCACGAGACATCTCATACTAGCGATTGCTACCTCGTGCCATCTTGAGACACCTCATACTGGTGATTGCCACCTTGTGGCATAGCAAGACACCTCATATTGGCGATTGCCACCTCGTGCCATCTTGAGACACCTCATATTGGTGATTGCCACCTTGTGGCATCTTGAGACACCTCATACTGGTGATTGCCACCTCGTGGCATCTTGAGGCACCTCATATTGGTTTCCTTACCTTATAAATATTTTGATGCAAAAATGTGTAAACTAGAATGATGGTCCCATGGTGTGTTACAACACAATGGACCATCATTTAAAGTCATTCATGTATATAAATTTTTATTTATTTATTTTATTATTATTATTATTATTATGTATATATATTATTATTATTATTGGTCATCACAGCTCGTAAGAAGACTAATGGGTCTAATATCTCAATGTCCAATTTTGTAAAAGCTTGTAACAAGTTTATCATTATTACTTGTTGCTCCTAAGCTTCTCCTGAGTCTCAACCAACCTGTAAAGGGGCTCTCTATCTCTATAATCAGTCTGATCAGAAAAAATCAGCAATTGTTTCATTCTAGAAGCTTGCACTGAAAATTGTCTTTAGAAGCCCTTCGTGTCATGGGACCAACGAAAAATGTCCTAGTGCAAAATCCTCACTTGAAAATTGAAATAAATCGAATCTTAATTTGGTGTACATATCCATTTGAACATATCTATGATTCAGTCTGGAGCTCTGAAATTCTTCGACAAACTTCGGCTTCTCCAATATTGCAAGGATCAATTTGGCAAGATGTTGTTGTAACTTATCCTTTTAAGCAAGTTCAAGCATAGGTTTGCATTGAAAAAATTCAAGCCCAATAATTTTTGTGGCAAAATACATATAATACTAGGTTTCTTTGAGGGAAATTTTTCATAAAAGATTTGTCAATCAATGGTAGATTTCTGCAGGCATTGCATTGGACCTCAAAAATTAGACCTCAATCAGTTAGTTATCAAACATAGAACTCAATTCTCCATGTGTTACACATTGTACCCTCTAACCCATTAATGGCCTAGCTGAAGAAGCTGTTCCCGTGAAACAGCTGTGGGTTCCCACTCCGGGTTGTTCGGCTCTCCGAACCCAAGTGTTCTCTCTCTCTCTCTCTCTCTCTCAAGGGAGTGAAATGTTATATGGTTTAAGCTTTTCTTCAGAACATTGTAATCATCAGATGCAACTGTTTTCACTTAATTTTCTGGAAAATTGGAGAGGATCCAAGCACTATTGAGTTCCCTACTTTTCAACTCCATATTTGAAAACAATGACAATGGCCATGATGGTGTAAGAATTTCAAATTCCATGAAACTTCAAATAGGGTTTCCTTTGGGAGTACTGCAACTTGTCACCAAATCTGGCTATTCATCATTATTTGATATTTTATATAGCATTAGTCAAATAACAAATTTTCAGACTCTCAAGGAGTAGAACAAAACTAAGATAACTACATACACATGATAGCATAGTGATGAAAAATGTAACTCAATTGTCATACACCCCTGATCTATTGAAATCATATCTCCAAGGTCTTGTGTATAAAACTATTCTATAGTGCATACAAATCAATTCACCGTGGAGCAACAAATAGATGCTTCCAATGTAATGACATCTACCCATGAAATCTACAACAATCTTAAGAAACCAAGTATCTCTCTCTCGCTCTCCTCTCTAGAGAGATGATGTGAAGGGGTTGGAATTTGACCACAACCACACATACACATAAATTGATTCTGAAACAACTCTAGCCAAAGAGCCCTTATTAATCTCTAACAAGAATCGTGGTCTGACTGAATCCGGCTATTGGCTGGCTTTCCAATCTGCAAACATGCGATGGGTGGCACTGTGGGACTCATCAACTCCCCAAACGTTTGCCAACAAAAGGGCTCATACAAGTGGTAGGATTCTTGTATAGGTTCAAGCTGTATGTCTGTTAAGGTCAAGTCAGTGCAAGGGATAGTGTCACTGCATGCAAAATGTACAGGCTTTACTGTATAGGTTCCCTTGATCTTCTCATATGTGATCCCTGACAGGGCAACCGCAGTTGTATGGTTCTCGCAAGTTCTTTTGTCACAGTAAAACTGGTCAATCACGATAGGGAATTGGACCTCAGAGACTTGGATGTTGGAAAACAATATGCCTTGGACAGAGCCTGAACCACCCTGTTAGGAGAAAATTTTGATTTTTTGAGTAAGATGAGTAAATATCAAGGAAAGGGAAATGAGATTATAAGAAGATAATGGGGATGATATCAGAAAATAAAAATTGTAATTGTAAGTCAATGAAGGAAGATGAGAAATATTCAAACATGAAATCAATTACTAAAATGGCCATATATTATTGGCGTTTCTGGGCACGTACATGTGTGGATTGCATGTGTCCATTTCATCAGGAGGCAGTGTTGATCACTTGGAGGAAGGTGATACAATCATGGTAGGCCTTAGATTATCTTGTAAGTAAATGAAGGAAATCAAGTATATTTGATCATATTAAATCTTGGTTTAGAATCACGTCTTAGCAATGAAGCATACGCATTAGGTTCACTGGCAAGACACAGGTACCAAAATTATTCCAATTCTACTTAACTTTTGAAATGTCACTTTGATAGTCTCACTTCTTCCTTGTAGACCCCGTGGAAACTATTCTTGTTTAGTGATAGAGATTTGCTTTTAAATAATAATTAATGGCAATTTATCAAAATACAGATAAGAGATCAATTATTTAACATTTGATCCACATATTTTTATTTAATTTCAGAATATCCATCATGAGTTGGAACAGTTGAAAAACGTAAACTGTTAAATTGTTGAAAAATTAGGTATATTCTGATAAATTTCCCTAAGAATTAAGGTAATGATAGTAGTTTTTAGTTTACCTGCCATGTCTTTATTCTGACTCCAGTCATTGTGTTCTGAATATTGATGTTTCTCACAGTGATATTGGATACACATGCCTTGGTGTTGTCTCTTCCAAGCCCGCCTATGCTGATGCCATGGCCGGGCCCGCAGTTCAAGTCATGAACATAGATGTTTGAGCTGCCAGTTTGTATAGACACACAATCATCACCTGCATTATGCAGTGTGAACTCCATGTTATAACTTCTAAAAGACACGAAACACTAATAATCTGAGAAGAAATACCTTGTTTCAGGTTTTCCTAGGAATACACTGTAATAGATAAAAGGGAGGGGTGTTGTCTCCATGGGGATGGGGCGAAAGAAGATTAGGGGATATGAATAGCGATACTAGGTAAATGTAGTTCTGACTCGTGCTTTGCATTATTGATTTTCTTTATCGAGGTAATTAGGGCATACTGGTCATTTCTGTGGAATTGACTGATGTTTACAATTGAGGCGTCTATATCATTTCCATTCATTGTGGCAGAGCGTGATTGATCTGTGAAAATTTGGTAAACCAGGAATAAAATAGCTTTACCAATGTTTTAAGTGGTCGATCATATATATCCTTTTCCTTCTTTCAATTTATTTTTAAAAATGCTAAACTGAAACTGGTTATGAAGATATTAGTATTACCACATGCCAAATTGGAGTGGTGGATTAGCACATCTCTTGAATTTTGCAGGTGTATTCCATCTGTATTGAGGCTGTTTCCAGGTGATGAAATGGTGAGGTTCAAGACTTCGACGCCTGTGCAGCTATCAAGCTTTAGGTGACATTGAGGACTGTTTTGAATTCTGATGTCTCGAACAGTCACATTAAAGCTCCCATAAAATCTTAGAGCCTGTCAAAAAATTAAGCTAAATTAAATTAGATTGAAGTGCCAAACTCGAGCTCCGATAAAATCTTGGAGCTTGGCAATTACATTAAATTTAAGTCTTTTGTAAGATAAAAACTTTTAAATGGCTATATTTTAGTGTACAGTTTGCGCTGTGAGGGTTTCCATTCTTTAGAAACTGCACCTTCACATGATATGGCAAGAGTTTCGATTTCTTTTCTCTGGAGTTTGGAGGAAAAAAAAAAAAAAAAAGAAACATGTGTCTGCTTTTGTAGTGATATTTTAAGGTCGCTTGCATGGAGGCAAGTTTCTCTATGGAAGCTTATGTTCCCAAGGAAACCCTGGAAGAATGCTCACACACACACACTGGTGCACAAATGTGTGCGTGCACACACACATACGGAGAGAGAGAGAGAGAGAGAGAGAGAGAGAGAGAGAGAGAGAGAGAGTATTACTAATAATTAGTTTTATTTTTTTAGTTTATTACTTATTTAGTTTTATACTAGTAGTAATTAAGTTACTTTTCCGTACCCCTTTATTTTTCGTTCGGTACTAATAGTAATT